CATTTATCTGCATAATGTCCTGAATACTCATTATTGGGGTAAAGACATTTATTGATTTACTATTTTAAAATCTTTTTTACACTTGAGAAGGCAGTGACTTCGACGTAAAAATGTCATTGAAATCTTGAACAACTTTCACATGCTAATAAGGGTTAAGTCTGAAGCAAATTAGGGCTTCTATTCAGTATTTTCTTTGAAATGGCTTCATGACCAAGATGCTTGGGTATCAGTATGAGTTTTGCATAAGTTTCTTGTGATAACAAAAAAAAATTGTTTTCATCTTGTATCACAGAATGTGACTAGCCACCTGGAAATGGACTATTGTCTTGCTGGGTTAGCAAGGTAAATAAAAAGAGACTGATAAAAACTTGAAATTGAAGTTTGTAAATGATTGCTGATAAATCAAATGGCCAATTGAAGGATTCTGTGAACTATAAGTGAGTATGACAAAGACCAAAAGAATTGGGCTATGAGCGGCTAGGTGTCTTAGTAGTTGGATTTGGGAGAGAGATAATGAATTAGCTCAGGAATGCAACCTTCAGTCAGATTCTCTTTCTAGTAAGAATAGTACCATCTATCAGAGTCTAGTTGTTGCCGACAAATCAGTTTGCATTTTTTGCAGGGAATTTTAGTTTGCAATTTTATATTGTCGCTAGTCAGTAAGATTCTACTTTTTTTCTTATATTAACAGTCCAGCTTATTATTTTGGTTAGTTACGTATGTTCTGTCTTCTCAATCTTTGCTAGTTATCTCTTTTTTTTTTTATTGTAATTTTGCTATCATGTATTTAACATGGTATTTTATAAGATAGCCCGAGGAACTTTCAGTTTCTTTAACAATACTCTAAAAGGTATTTGGCATGATTGCTAGACTATTGATTTTCTGCTTGTATTTTATGAATTCAAATGGGTGAATGCTATGGCTATGGTATAAATATCACCACAAATTCTCTTCTCTTTTTGGGATAGAAGAGGAAATACTGTTGCAAAGTTATTTTTTGAAAGCTAGGTCACGTCCTATTGTTAATAATGGTCATTTTGAGGCTGACTGTGATTTAAACTGATATGTTATTTTCAGGAACTTTGCTCCTCCCTAATTTTTCATCTTGGTAAAATCAGAGCTCATTCGGAAGCATTTTCGGTTTATAATATGCTGAGATATAGCAAGAGAACAATGTGTAAGGCTCTTCATGAGAAAATTTTGCATATCCTAATATCCGGGGGACTTCTTAAAGAAGCATACATAGTAGTTAAGGTAATTGATACTTTGCTTTGCATGTTCATAGATTTTCTTATATGTATGACTGATTATTATGTTGATTATTTTCTTTTCAGGACCATGCAAAGTCGATCTCTGTGCCTGCTATGAAGAAATTTGCATCAGCATTTATTAAGTTGTGTAATATCAATTTGATAAATGATGCCGTGAAGGTTATCCATGGTTCTGGCCACAAGATTGATCAGGTAAAACTCACTTGACACTTTGCAGATTTACTTTAGAAACTTAAAATGCAATTCCTTTTAAAAGTGGGAAACATGCATGCAAGTGTAGGACTTTTGGCATTGTTTTGGGTAATTGATGGAGAACCACTATTAATGGTTGGGAAATTTTAGTGACATAAAAGTTGGAAGGTGAGGCTTAGTTTTTGGGAGTTTGATAATGTAAGGATATAGTTTGATTCTGTTTCCTATTTCGCTTGTTTTTGATTCCCATAGAGGAATAGCCAATTGTTTTTTATGGAGGATCACTATTAATGGGTGTTGGGAAATTTTACTGACATAGAAGTTGAAAGAATTGGGATTATTTTTGGGGAGTTTGGTGGGGTAAGAATACAGTTTGATTCTGTTTCCTGTTTTGCTTGTTTTTTGTTTCCTATAGAGGAGCCCAAATTCAACATTTTGGAAGTCAGTTGCATTTTAATAATATTAATAACATCGAATTGGAATCTCCCCCTTTCTCTCTTGACCTCTCTCTCCTCAAACCTCCTCTTGTCTATGTCTGATTCAAAAACCTTAACAGTTAACAGGTTGCCTAGTTTAATATTTACCAGCATTCCAATATCCAAGGAGACATCAGTTGCATTACCTAATGCACAATGTGCCAAGGGGCATCAAGATTGAAACAAGAAATTGGGAACAAAACATAATCTTGTGCTAGCTGTGTCTAATTTTTCTGTTTGTCACTAGGGACATTTTGAGATGGCAATCTCACGTTATATTGGACAACCTGAGAAGAATGAATTGCTTGTCCAGCTGCTTCAATGGATGCCAGGTCATGGTTATGCTGTCGAGTCATCAACAGAGAACCCAGATTCTCAAGAACTCACACTTTGGTCGCCAACTCATCACAGAGATATTGTCTAAGCATCATTTGGTGTCGAAAGCCAAGCAATCTCGTTAGATGTTGAAACTAAATGGCTTCCAGTTAAAGACTAGAGACAACTGTTGTTTACCCCTCCATAAGATAAACTGGGAAAGGGTTGCTGATTGGATCTCACACTAAGCCTTGCCAATAGAGATGGTACGGAAACCTAATTTTTTTCATCAGGATTCGAACAGATTTGGAAGGTCAGAAAAATCTAATTTCTGTCCAGATTTGATCATTTCACTTGTAACCATTTGTTGAATTCTCTTATTCTTTTACCTACTGAAAATTCTTATCACACACCCAGAGTCTATTTAGCAGATATCTATATGTTATTTGTTGCCAAAATGTGAAATTTGTGAACGGTCAATGTTTGTGCATCTCAAACAGATAATACCATGCAGGACACCGGAGCAGTTATGAAGCAAAAATCATCTCAACTGATATGAACAGAAAGATCTCTGTTATTCTTTAAGTAGTTAGAACGGCAATCAAACTACGTTACTCTGCAACTGATAATGATGTAATGTATTCTCTGCTAGAGCATATTTTTATAAATTGAAACAATTACACCCGAATACTAACTATGGATTTAGCAAAGTATATGTGATACTATAAAAACATAAACATCTTCGTTAGTGCCATTGTGCATTAGGGAT